CCCCCCCCCCCCGCAGCAGCATGCGTCTACCCCCCCTCCATGCTAGCAGATTGCTAACCCATCTGACACTGTGGCCTGGCCCACGGTGGAAGTCAGATCCCTGGTTTGCGCAGGGATGGATAATGGCCAGTTGGAAAATCTGGTCCAGAGTGTCAAGGGGCTGCAGAGGGAAACGTGGATGAGGGCTGAGGCAGAGGAAATGTCTGCTCAGATGCTCCCAGCTCTGCGTTTTTAGGCACAGGCGGAAATTCCTTAAAATTAAATCCCAGATAGAGTTTCCTTCTCTCCAGTGTCTGCTTGCACAAGTGTCTTAAGAATGGGGGTACTTCTTGTCTGGCCTCCTCATGCAGCTGGGAACTGTTCTCTGTGTGAACCTGCCTGACAGGCTTGCGTTGGAGTCCCCCACAAACATGGGCAGGACCTGAGCAGTCACTCTGCTGCCTTCACTACCCCTCCATTTCCCCAGGCCATGTACATTGGGCCCATTGGCAAAGAGCAGGTCAGCAAAAGGTCCTGTTCTCCTCTAGTTTTTCAGGTTGTTTGCAGGTCCCGGTCTAGCAGTCTGGTTTTGGTCCATGGAGGGAATCCCACTGAAGCCTGGCTCCGGTGCTGGGAGCGACTGCAGGTTTGGGGCAGACCTGGACCAGCCTGCAGGGTTGGGGTATGCCCGAGTAAGCTTATCACTTCTGTGGGGCTCTGTGCCGCCTCCCCTTCTGCACAAGAAATTAAGATTGAAGCCCCCTTACGGTGAGCCCCATGTCTGCACATCCATGGCATGGTGGAACCATGATCCTCATGGGCTGATTGTAGACTCTTTTGGAGTTCAAGGCCCCAGTCCCGATCTGAAAACTGTATAGTGGATCCCTGACCTGTGGGGTGATCTGTGGAGGGGGCTCCACACAGCTAGGATCCATCTCCCTGTGATATCTCAGTGCTGGATTGGGATCTGTATAAAATCATCATAATGGTCACTTTCTGAATCATTGCTGTTTCTGTTGCTTGCCTGGGCCTTTGAAGCACTGGGGAGCTACTACCAGCAGTAGGGAGAAAGTGAAGCAGTTGAAATAATAAGGTGTCATTGTAAACCTACAGATCTAGGTGCGGAGACTTGAGGGCATGTGGAGCCTTCATAACCATATTGTTTACTAGCTTTTAAGTTCCCAGTGCCCTTTAGTGTGGTGAATGAGCCCTTCAAAGAGTGGCCTGGGCTGAGGAATTCCTAGATCGGATTAAAAGGCCAGTCACATTTGGACAGTCAAACAAATACAGCTGGAAGGGACCTTGAGGTCATCTGCTCTGCCCCCTGCTCTAGGCAGGAACGTCCCTGCCCAAACCATCCCAGGAAGACGCATGTCTAACGGGCGCATCTACACGTCACCCTGCAGTGACGTAGTGATGCGCTGTCACCATACAGTGCACTACATCACTGTAGTGGTGCGCTCCCTGAGCATAGTGTGCTGCTAGCAGCGAAATCTAACCATGCACCATGCACACGGTGCAGTAACCACCCAAAGGAAGTACTAAAGCTTGGCACCGTAGCAACATTGCGGTACGGTGATGTGTAGACGCACCTAACCTGTACTTAAAAATATCCCAATATGATACTGGTTTGTGTGTGATACCACGAGAGCTGATACACAACAGTGAGCAGGTTCTGCTTGCTTGCCCGCAGCCCCGTGGAAAACATGCAGCCTGCAACATTTCTCCCATGTTGTGCAATTAAATATGGCAAGACTATTTGTACTGCGTTACCATAGAGGGGCAGTGATTGCACACCATTGTGTGTGATAGATGATCGCTCTGGTGGGGTTCTACTAATGATGAGGCTCCATGTTTCATTAATGATACACACCAGGTAAATTGCCCACAGTGGTGTTCTTTGAACCTTTCACGGCAAATCTGTTTGTGATGGTGCAGGAGATGATTTATTATTATTGTCTGATACTGAAATGGCACACGGTGAAAATTGCTCTAGATGAACCAGTGGTGATTTTTTTTTTAGAGGAGCAGTTTCTATGTTCTCAATTCATCGTTTAATTGGAGAAGAAGGGAAAATTCTTTCTGTTTAAATTTGTTCTGTCCTTTTGGTACCTTTCAACATAAATACCAGATACTTTGCCTGCTGCCATGTGCTGAGGTTGTCTTATAATGCCTCCTGTCAATTTATTTGTGCAGAAGCTGGTGTACAAGAGGTTGTCAGAAAAAGGAAGAAACCGATCTTGAAGATTGGACACGGTGGGACTCTGGATAGTGCAGCTTCAGGAGTTCTGGGTAATAAAGAATATAAATATCTGTCATGTTTGTCTCGCTTTTATTTAATGAATTTTGCCTCTGTTAACTTGAGATGAGTATGTACTTTTGTTTGAATAAGCTGGCATTTTGAAGCTGTCGTGATTTTTTTTGGTAGCATTTATTGTTATAATAATGTTTCTAAAACACCATTTTTGTCTCCAAAGAAATGTTAAGTGCTTTATGTGTAGGCTTCAGTTCAGCCATCTGTTATATAAAGTGTAGCAACACAATAGATTAGGACAAGAAGTAAAGGTGATCCCATCCAGTAGATAAAGGACATCTATAAACTTTCCTGTTTATTGTTGTCAAGTGATTTCTGCATCAGATACAGTGTGATGTACTGAAGGGCATTGTTTTGGGACTGCAAAAAGGTTATGCATTTATGTAAAGTGTGCACTTATCCAGACTTCATGTAAGCAATCGTTCCTCTTAAGGCTGCAGCTCTATTGGTGCTGTAGTAGTAGCAGCTTTTCATAGCTTCATTTTAATATCTTCTAATTAGTCAGTGTGGTAGCTTCTTGTATTTCAGCAGGGACAGTGCAGTGCACTGAAGGACTGTTGATTTACAGTGCTTTCGGTGGCATGGTACCAGCAGCCCTGAAGCTGACTAGCTGCAATCATTTTCAAGGTTTCCAATAGCTGCTCTTTGACAGATCCTTCCCCTAGGCTGTTTCTGGCACAGTTAAAAGGACTATAGTGAGTTACAAAGCAGGCGGATGCAATTCCAGCTACCATGCCCCTATCTGAAGTGCAATTAAGTTACATAGCAGGCAGTTGGGCTGAAAGATGCCATGTGCTAAAGTGGTTCCTACATTTAAGGGGTATGTAGGTTAACTGGAGTGTGTTGCAGCATAAGAAATAGGGATCACACTGGGCCGAATGTGGTACTAATCACTTAGAACAGATGCATTTATATCCAAACTGGCTGTGTTGATTTTACTGGTAGCATGATATTCTGATAGCCTGCCCTGCAAGCTTACCCGTGGGACACAGTGAGCTGGATTACTTCCATCTTCACACCAATAATTTCATTAGTGGGCAGCATAGAATAGGAGCTGCAGTTAGCCTGATCTGACTGGTATGGCATGTTTTATTCCTTTCAGCCCTGCAGAGTAAAAATCCTGGTTGGAAAGAAGTCAGCAGGTGTGAGTGGATATGGTGGGGGAGTAGATGGGCTGAGTTCTGATGCAGTCATTTCTCTGAGTTGTGTGCAGAAGCTGCAAATATGTTGATGCCCATCTGCTGGTAATTGTCTTTTTCTTCCACCTGTGTGCACTGTTAACTTGCATAGACTAGAAGTGAAGCTTGAGCTCTGCTTGCTCCAATTTCCTGTACTCTGTTGCCATTCATTGGAGAGCACTGCATCTAGTTATGAAGCTGATGTTCTCTCCTGCACAGGTGTTCCCACCGAGCATAATATTGCTGGTTGTGGGAAGTCTACAACATTGATTTAAGAGGGGGTGGGGGGTTGGGTAGAGAAATCACTGATGCTTTTCAATTGCTTCTACTGTTTCTCTGCCATCCAATGGGCTCCAGAGCTTGCTCTTGTGGTATGAGAAAAAGTATTCATGCTTGGCTTATATCTGGTCCGGGCAGAAATGTGTCTCACCTTAATATGCTGCTGATCGATCCTTCACAAGGGCACAGGATGTTTCATTCCACTGACATACAAAGTGTACAGATAGAGATCAATGGGAGCCCAACTGAAAAGGACAACACGGGGAGGGGAGTGGGGTAAATGCTTTCAGACTTTTAAAGAGCGTAGAAGAAATAACAGGGGAGAGGAAGGAATTAATAACAGAGACACAAACGGCTTAATGGATCGCTCATCTCTTGCTTTACCCTGGTGGCAGTGGAACGTCTTGTACATACCAGTGGGCAGCATCACAAAATGCCTTCTGTGGCTGCTAAACCTCCTTTCCGGATGGGTGATGCTGTGCCTCTGAATTCAGGCTTCATGTCAAAGTCATTCATTGCTGCTTCCTGGCAGACCTCTCGTATACATGTGTGCGTGCTGGGGCCCTGATCCTGTAGCATTTGGACATACAAATAATTTTTGCATATGTGAGTTAAGCACTACTACACCTTTATAGGGTGCTTGGGTCCAGTGATGCTGAATGCCATGCAAATGTCTAAATCGTATATATATATTTTTAAAAGATACATTTTGATACTATATTTAATTTCATACTTTGTTTCATACTTTGAGGCTTTACAAATGTAGCATAGAAAAGGAAATGTAAAGGTGTTCAGTTCCAACTGTTAGCACAAAAATTGTAAAGTCTAGAGAAACAAATGGGAGCAGGGGTGGGGGGAGGTTAATCCTGATTGTGGTTCTTAATGTCAGTTCAGAGGTGTATCGGTTTTGTTTGTTTTGGGTCCTTGCCGTGCCATTGAGCACAAGATTATTGAAATGCAAGCAGATTAATCACAGTAATTAATTATTAATTTTTTTTAAGGGCTTGAATATAAAAGAATAACAGAAGTAAAACTTAAGCAACCAGGAAACAATGTGGTTCCTTCCATTAGTTTTCTCTATATACCTCTTGGGCAAGAGCTTGTATCGGTGATTACTTCATAGGGAGTATTCTTCTCTAAGCTTGCGGACATGCAGCTACGGGTCTGCGATCACTTCATCACCTCACGTGATTCACAAGATAAATCCAGCTATTTCAGAATAGGAGTCGATAGCACCAAAAAAACATTCTTGCCCTTTTGGTCTTTCTGAGTTCTTTGCAATAGAAGCATTTTTTCGGTAGTCAAAAAACAAGTGAAAACTTGTGGCATTTTTTGAGGAGTGCCTCAAGTCTAATGATGGGTGCCTTGAATCTGATGAAGTAGAGAACCATTGTGCTATATGTTTTTCAAAGGATAACTTTACTCTAGACTTGAGTGACTTGCTTCGTAGTAAGGCTGCGTTTCTTATGTTCTCTGCACATAAGGCCAATTTACTATATAGTAAATATGTCATGTATCTACGCCCTAAGTAAGATGAGACCAAAGCACATTATTCAAATCAATGGCAAGTCCTGTCTTACTGTATTATGGATAACTATAGAGTTTGTAAATGGGCAGAGAGAAGTGACTTTAATTCAGTGCTATGAAAATGAAGTATGTGTTTAAATAAATTACTCAAAGAAGCCATTAAAGGACAAGTCTAAAGATGGGCCAATTAATTATTAAGAATGGTAAATTAAAGCTCAATTTTGCTGTTTGTTTTACCAAGATTAGCCTGTATCTCCTTGCCAGAAATACATAGACTACACAATCTGGTGCTTAACAAAATAAGTTGTTAGTATGTTGTTTATACTCTTATTGAAGTTGGGAAGACAGGTACGTCCTTCTGGGCTTGGCTTGTCATTTTTCATTGGCTCAACACCTTCATGTGAGGGTCTTGGTACAAGCTTCAGCTCACAAATATGTAGCCTGTAAATTCAGTCTTTCTAACTACAGTGTGTGGCAATGTTGCTTTTGTCTTTGTGGTAGGAAATTCCAAAAACATCCTTAGAATTGAAACCCTCTTTTTTGGGGGGTTTGTATGAGGATTAAAATGTTACAGTATTTACTGGAGTACAAGATGAGATTTCCCCTCCCGACCCCAGTCAGCATGGGGAAAACAGCCCCTAGTCTTACATACAAGGAAATTGCAATGAATACATTGCCTATTTCTGAACTGCTGCTCAAAGCAGCTTGTGCTCAGTAATGGAAACCAACTGTAATATTGACTAAATGCAGCCAGCTGAGCATGACTATAAAAAGCATGGCCCATAGTGGGCAAACTTACTAATGGAAACCTACCACTTTTTTTTTGGCAAAAATATTTGTTTCTATATCTATAATAATAAACAAATTATGTATGTATGTAAGTACACCTCCAACACTCTGACAAATGGCCCTTGTGGTTCACTTGGCAGCTCAAAGCACACTAAAAACCCATAACACAGTTTGCACTGTGCAACCACACACCCATCTCCGTACCGCTACCCCAACCCACTGGCCTCCTTAGAGGGTCTACTGAACAAGTCTATGCCAGACCCCTCTCCCCCAGAAAGATTAGTTAGTGCAGCAGTCTCCAGCCTTTTTATGGTGAAGATCATGTTTTGGCACCCCAGATCTACCGTGTTGTCCCCTGCTCCACCCCCCTTCCTGCCTCCCAGATGAGCTGCCTGGGCTCTGACCCCATTCACCCAGCCCGGCCAGCAGGAGGCATTGCTCTGCCCAGCCATATGCATCCTGCGGCTCCTGATCGTGGAGCCTCTGACAGACTGAGATCGACTGTCAGAAGCTCCACGATTGACCAGCTGGCGACCACTGGGTAAACGCAACATCTGAATAAAATGTATGGTAGTGCCCATTAAGTGCAGTTCTACTCAGCACTGACTCTTTTTAAATGTCATGGTGAGCCACTGTGTTGCATACATTTCGACTTCCTTTTCACTCCCGCAGCTGAGCTGCACCTTTCTTTCCCATTTCCAGTGATTCCTGTTTCTTCACCAGCCTTAAATGTCCAGGAAACCTCACCAACTAGGGCCCCATACATTTTGCCCAGTTGCCCCCTCTCTCAGCCAATCCCATATGATTAGTGCTGATGAAGTTGCTCCACACCTCATTGTCATATGATTTTTTGGAGGATCCCAGGACTTGTCAGAAGAACATCTGGTTCCAGTTATGAGTGAAGGGCTAATTAGCACGTGGATCCTTTGTGGGATATCTGGAGTACACTCGTACTGGGCAGTGCTGAGCTGTGGGGTCTCTGTGGCTTGAAATGCTGTTGATTCTGCTAGGGTCTAGGCCAGTGAACTATATGGTAGATCACGAGCCTTTGGCTTTGGACTAATACCATGCACAGTTTATAGCATACATAAGTCTATGCTGAAGTGCTACGTAAAAGTGTTTATGGAGCTGAGTACCTGTGCTAAAACTTGCAGCAGTTTCAAAAGAGGTAAAATGCGTCAATTCTAGAGGAACTAAGTTTTACTTGTATACAAATTATTACAGCTACATCTATTTTAAGGTCTGTTTTTTCAAATGTGTTCCTCACTTCCATGGGCTCAGGGAGAACAGGGCCTGACAGTAAGGAGGTGGGGAAGGGGCTGCAGAGGGAAGAAGTTGTGGGGGCAAAGGGGCATAAACCTTATGCCCCAGGTTTATTGTCCCTTCTGTAGCAGTGGGAAGGGAAAAAATTCAAGGCAAACCTCCAATAACTAGATTCCATACCTGGAAAATTATGGAAAATGTATAATAGAACCTAATTTTGGGGGGTATCTTATAATCAAGATTGTCTTATATTTGGGTAAATATATTATTACTGGTGAATCTTCATTTTTATATAAAAACATGTTTCCAGATTTTGAAATAGGTTTTTTTTTAATTGATTTAAATAATTTGTAGATTATATTTGATGACATTTAAGTTTGGCCAATCCTTAGGTTGCTTTTGCCATCCTGACTTGGTTAAGGAGCTCCATCAGCATTTCTAAATCACTAACATGAGAAACCAATTTATATTCCTTAATTGGGAAATTAGTGATCAGTTATAACACAGACTTTTGAACCAATATATTTGCATGTAACATCTCATTCTTTACATAAAGGTGGTATCAGGCAGTTATTCCATTTGCAGATAAACATCTCCAGGCATTAAAATGATTATGCCTTTCAAGAGGTAACAGGTGCAACCAATATTTCTGTCACGTGTACAACTATACTATAGATAAGCTTCCACTTATAAGAACATAATTCAAATTCTTTTTATGGATTTAAAGTGAAAGATTTTTCCCTTTATCAAGGGAAGGGATACAGGGGTACACTTTTATATCAAAGCATGTAGCCCTTATGAAACAACCTGAATGTCTGTTGTTTCTGGAATATTTTGTGGAAAGAAGTATGAGAAGTTATATATTAATAATCCTTTTTGTATCGGTATCTCTTAAACAAGAAAATATTGGAGAATTTTGTCCCACTCACATGGTGATGAGTGCTTACAATGCATTAACAATATACCTGATTTCCCATGCTTTTGCCTTCTTATTTTACCCACTGCTTCAACCTGCTGTATTTGTAGGAAACCAGTAGACAAAATTACTAAAGAGAAGCACATTACTGTAGGAAGCTTTAATTTAAATTATAATACCATAAAGTGTTTTTTTTTTCCCATCCATTTACTTCATTGATGGAGATCTGATTGATTGTTAATGGCTACATGTAAAAATGTGATTTAAAATTGAAAAAGTCAGTGGTCCATACGCACACGTCTGCCTGTGTTTGATAATAAATGATCCTCACAAGAGACCCAGGGACCTCCTGATTATTTTACTTTCTTGCCATGGTCCTATCACAGCTAAACTAATTTCATTTATGGGATTTGCTGCTGCCTTGGTTGTGTTACTGTTGGCCACTAATAACCTTTAAATGGCCCATCAGTTACAGTTATGCCTTTGGCTCGCTAAAATGAACCTTGCCAAAGACTTTATCAAACCAGACTGAGGGACATGGTTAATTGCACTGCGCATTTCTTCACTGTGACTGCAAAAACTGCACAAAAGAAAGAAAAAAAACCCAGGATAGAATTAAAGCACATTAACAATAGGCAAAGCTTATCTGTCTTCCACTTCATGCCCTCTCTTTTTCCTCAGCCCCTAGTAAATTGAACATCGGAGGTGTTTTCTCCTAGGCAATATCTTTATCTTTTGGGATCCTTCACTTGCAAGACTCATTCAACTGATCAAGGATAATTGAGCCCATTTATACGCCAGCAGTGCAGGAAATGTGATATTTCTGACTAACGTGATGTATGGCAGTGAATGATGGTACATGCAAAGATTGTGAATCCAGTTTTTGTAATAGATTGTTGCAATGTTCCTCTTTCTTTCTTTGCAGTGGTTGGTATCGGAAAAGGAACAAAACTGCTCGGAAGTCTGTTGGCAGGTTCCAAGGTAAGAAACATGAAAGCTGCTTGTCTCTCCATTGAAAGAAAAAAATGTTAAGGTGAATTCTGGCACAGGGAACAAAAACAGCCAACATTTCCAAGAAGGATTTGGCAGGGCTCCCTTTTGGAAGAGACCACCCCAAAGCTTGATGTTGCAAGCATTAAACCAGTGGAAATACGTCTCTCTGCCATTGTCCCAGAGAACATCATTGATCAAAGCAGTTTGGTAGGAAGGGTTTCTTGTGCTTTAATTTACCCACCTCCTTCCCCCCATGTTCAATTCTGTAACATTTAAATAAAAGAAACAGAATGTGCTGTAAATATTTTAGTATTCTAACTTTTTCTGGATGTAACTACTGGCTGAGGTTTTCTGTGAGAACTGTAACATCCCATTTCTGTTACCCTGTCATGTAAATATATGAGTAATAATATAACTCTTAGTCCATCACACTTTGTTATGCAGTCGCAACTATTCACATCTCCTTTATGTGTGTGTGTGTGTGTGTGTGTGTATAGATATATATATAGATATATATATATGCGTGTGTGTATATTAATCTCCATGGTGTTTTAATGTGAAATGTGAATATTAATCTTTCACATTAATATTGTTGCCATGGCTAGACCCCTCCTCCCCCCCCACTGAAGATGATGGCCCCACTGCACAAAATACTTGGAGAACACGTTAGTAGAGGCATTCTCTGTTCTCTAAACCCTTGCAGTCTGATTTGGTTAAAGATGTGACGAGCAGTTGTGTCCAAAAAAAGCAGAGTAGTAGGAGGAAAGCAAAAGCAATAAAATCGTGATGGTGCAGTCATACTGATGGTTCCAAATCATTTTAGATTTAAGAGGTAAAATCGACTGTTTCTGACTTGCATCTAATCAGATGATTTTTTGACTGAATTCTTGCACGTACAGCACAGGTGGGTGAAGATGAAAGAGCTGGAAGAGCAGAGGGTGCAGGGGCTAATTCAGGGCGGAACCCCAAGAATTAGGGTCAGCATGGAATAAATGATGGAGACAGGTGTGAGAGATGCTGACAAAGGGGTATGCCAGGCTAATGAACAACCTTAATTTGGTTTTTCTTACAACACACTGGTTACTTGGGAAATGAAATGGGAGGCTAGGGAGATTGAGAGTATGCTGCGAATCTGAGAGCAAGGGTGTGCAGATGTATACAGAGGTCCCTTCAGAACAGACGTTCTTTCTTCCATTTTTGTGTCTAGCACCACGGGCTTTGCCTGGCACTGAGGCAATACCATAGTCCATATATTAGTGCTCAACATAAAAGACGCTTCTTGTGTTTGTATCACCAGCTTAAAGACTAAGGTTTCAAATATTCACTCACCTTTAGTGGCATTAATTAGGTGTGTAATACCATTACATGAGCATACCCATTGACAATAAAGTTGTGTGTGTGAGAGAGAATATCAGTATGCAAAAGCACAAGTGACATTGAGTGGATATGAAGAAACTGTCTCTATCTCCATACTTGTTGAATACCTGGTAGTCTGATCCCCCACTGGTGTTTCTTGTCACACCAAAGCCTGGTTTTATGTTTCCATTCACAATTGTAGGTTTTGGGGAATCGAGCAAATGTAGCTGGATTACCCAAATGTAGCTACTCCACCAAGTACAGCTCTGGCTCTGGGAGTCCAGGTTTTGAGAAAATCAAGTCCTGAGGTTTTATAGAAATTTTTTTAAAATGGAAAATTGGACAAGCATAGGAAATGCAGAAATCAATTCTCTCCAAGTACCATCTAGACTTTCTGTTACTTTAGGAAAGTCAATAATGGGCATACCCAACTGACAGCCCCTCTAATGTATTTCATGCTGACAATTTTTTCTTTTTCCTTTCTGATCCATTAAGCTATTTGTAGATCTTGCGTCAGTGATGTGAACTGACTGATATTCCCCTAATTTTAAGATGAGAAAAATTAATTCTGCAGGAGAGAATTCAAGCAAAGCAGTTGTAGCAACCGCATGTGACCCAAAACCCATTGTAGTCAATAGGAGTCCTTCAGTTGACTGCAGTGGGCTTTGGAGTAGGCCTTTAGGGCCAGGTCTTCAAAGGTATTCAGGAGGCTAAGCATGCAGAAAAGTTTCTGGAGCTAGATTTACAAGGTTCACCTTTGTCTATAAAGTGAACGGCAGGTGCCAGCATTTAGATTCTCAGTACCACCGTCTAGCCCAGACATGCCTGTATTGCCGTGCTGTCTTAAAGATCTACTGGTAAAGAGCTTGACAACACTGAGCAGTTTTTCACCTCCATCTCACAAACTCCTTCACAGGCATTTGTCTGCCTGTCTTGTCTGCAGGGTGAGAACCAGGGGATGCTTTCAGAGCACATGCAGTTCCACCCAAGACACGCATGCCCTCCCCTAGCTTATATTCAGTAGCCTAATGGTGAAGACTTTTCCAGGAGTATTCTGGTGTGGTGTACACTCAGTGTTTTCTATTGAAACTGTTCTATTCTTATCCTGCCACTCTCCTTAGCATTTATTATTGGATAGTCTCCACTAAGCATGCCCACTTTTTTGAAAACCATTCTTTGGAACCTCTCTCTCCCATGCCCATTAATGTGTTAATCATGGCATAAATGGCAAGGGTGGTACATGTGCACCCAATGACAATACCATAAATGGCAGACCAGCCACAAAATTGTTCTATGTGTAATGTAAAACAATTTTATGACTGCTTTTTATGGCACCTTAAATAGAACAGGTGGCTGGGTTAGGAACTGCACTGGGGTTTGAAACTGCCCCCAGTGCAGTCCCTGACAGTCAGCTGTTCCAAACCCTGATTGGGCCTGGTCCTAGATCCGTGGGCACCCATCTTTCAACTTGCCAGTGCAGGGGGGAGCATAATTCTAGGCTTCTCCTGCATTGGTAAGTAAGTCATGATTTGGGATCTGATCCCCAGTCCCAACAATTGTGCCTCCTGCTATGGCACAAATGCATGGCAGGAGCTTTGATTTTGGGATTGGGGATCAGATCCAGTGGCATATTTAAATAAATGTCTGCCAGGGGCTCTAGGGAACGAATTTGAGGTGGAAGGTTCCACAAGGTGGGCATGCACTTGAGTTAGGTGTTGCAACACGTAAATGCTCCTAGCCCATAGTGGGATATTCAAAAGTGCTTGGCAGTTTGCATCTAGGTATAGCAGACACCTGTAAGCATGTTATATACCTGTGGCTGGGGTTACACATATACATTATCTCACAGTAAATGCAAGGTGGCTTACTATACTTTCATTGAGGAGCAAGCTTTTTGTCATTTGTCCTGTTTATAAGAGCATGCACACCCTCGTACCAACAGGTGGTAAATTCACACGTTAGCATCCATCATGGGAACTCAAAATACCTTTGATAATCCGGCCCCTAATGCTCATTTCATTTACTAGAGATCTGGAGGTAAAGAGCTGGTGGAGACTGTACCTTTTTATAGCCCACCATTACCTTTTGAAGATGATCCCATGCTAGAGGAAAGCTGAGTCATTGTAACTAAATGAATTTTAAATCATTCTGGATAACACGGTGCAAAGCTTGAAAGCAGCTGCACTTAAAACCAGATTAACTTCTGCTTAATTGCTTCGGTTTAATTGTGACCAACTGAAGAGAGCTTCAAACCAGTTTAGGTGTCTGCATTAAACATTTGCCTTGCCTTATCTAGGTTATTGTCAGCAAGGCTTGATCACTGGCCATGATTCTTCTATATGCTAGCGCTGTTGAAAAACTTGCTTTTTACATGCCATGACATTGCCTGGAGTCTGATTTCCTATTTTATCTTATGTGCTTCAGTGTACATCGCATGTTTGTTGATATAATTTTTTCCTTTCCTCTATTTTGCTACTTTGTATTCTAGATTCAGCTACATTTGATACATTTTTCTGCTTGAAATTGTATTTTTCTTTCCTTTACTGTAGTTGAAAAGAATCTACACAGATTAGGTTCAGTCTATCAGTGCTGGCAGCATAACCACCATTAACAGGCCAAAGCTTATGTTACGGTGGTAAACTCCATATGGCAGTTCTACCAGAGACTGGCATATGTCAGGATTTTTTCAAATACTGTAAGAAACTTTCTTGACTGTGTGGCAGCTATCAACATGATCACTTGATTTGTAATTTATATGTGCTCGGGAAGGAGAAACACTCTTTAACTGTAAATTCAATTCTGAAATCGGTGCTCCATCAGATTGACCTCTTTAAGGACTAACTCAAAACAAATAGAAATGTGCAGCCAAGTGCAATATCTACTCAGAGTTCCAAGTTTCTTATCAAGCCCCTTAATGTTTTTCCAGAAATAGAAATATGTGTGGGTTGCCTCGTGGGTTTTCTTTTTATTTCAAATGTTCCAAGTGAGGAAGAGAAGTGCTGGATCCTCTCAGCTCTGCAGTGTAAATACTGAGACATTAATATTTGTGCCATAACATCATCTCTCTCTCTCTCTTTTCTCTCTAGTGTTCTGCAGTGTCATATTTTGACTTGGAGAACCTGTTGGGGTTGAGAGAGGATCTGTATTCTTGCATTAGCAAAATAAATGTCTCTGGGGCAGGGGTGGGCAAAATATGGCCCGTGGGCCATATTCAGCCCACCAACTGACTGTATCCAGCCAGCGGCTGCTCCTGCAGCTCTCCACGTGGGGTCGAGCCCTGCTCCCTCCCACCTGGGCAGCCTGTGCCACACTTCTACCTGTATGCGCTGGCCCCGGTCCCAGTGACTGCTCATTGTGCTGGGTGGGAGGTGGCCAGGAGCTGGAGCTTCATGTGCTGGGGAAAGAGCTGCTCAGGTGCAGCAGGGGCAGGAGGAGGAGGAGGAGCAGCCACTGGAGGCGAGGGGAGCTGCAGCCGCATCGGAGCAGCCCCACCGGAAAGCTGTGTGCTGGCCAGGGCTGGGGCCAGGGCCGATGAGCGCGGGCAGAATCACGGCATGGGCTGCCCTGGGCAGGAGCGGCACAGGCTTGGCCCGATGTGGAGTGCTGTGGGGGTAGCTGCAGGCCAGATTGTG